GTTGGCCAGGTTATTCAGTCAGTTACATGGATGGGATAAATTAATAGTTGGATTCTTTCCTTTTATCATCATGAATTATATTATTTAGAGTATTTATCAAGGGAAGAGGAAATAAAATCCTTTCACTTTTATTCTGTTCACATTGATAATGCACTGCCGTGGTCTCCAGCAAAGAAGAATAAGCTCTATAATTATTTTAAGATGAAGGATCGTAGAATGACTTAAGCAGGAACAAAAGTCTTCAGGGTGATGTGTGGTGATGCTGCCTGTAGATTATTAGGTGGTGTCTCTTGAGAGAGGCAGTGAACATCAGGGCAGCAAGCAAAGGGAAGAAGAATGACTCAACGACATATAAATTGAAAGAAAAGCTGTTGCCTTTCCACTCTGTTTAATCTTTAATCGAATACTGTTTGAAGAAGTGTCGAACATGTGAGACATCTGGGAGTTCCTTTCTTCTTAGATTGTGCTCTATCTATAGATCTCAGACTGAATGTGTACCATGGACGGGGTGGCCCCAAGCAAGAATTACTGCTTGCGTTTTGGGACTCCCAGGGAAACTTGCTGCTGCCACATGAGCTCACTCGTGTTTCCTGTGTCATCTTTTTTCCTGCCCTCATTTTCATTGGATAGATAAAAGAGCTTCAGAAAAGTATTCTGTCTGTAAGGCCTCCTCACCTTGAAATAAAAGGAAATTAAATCTTAATAAGTGTAATAAAGCAGAAGGATAAATTCTGGCCAAATGAGCCCATTGGTTTATAAAAGGTGTTATGTTTGGATAGAATTTGGCACGGTACCTTCCAGTGCGATGTTTTATTTTACATACTTTGGTAGCTCATAAACCCAGTAACTTTGGTTGCTAAAATAATTTCTTGTTCCAGAATAAAACTCTCATTTTAAGTTTTTTTTATGTTGAACATGGAATTTGTCTAGCCTGCTAACGACTAATCGTCTGGGGTACTAGTATTTTTGAAGTGGGTTGGTGTTTTTGCTCCAAGAAGAGAAAATTTGTCTTTTAGCACCTGTTTCTTAATTCAACAAATTATTTTGAATAAGCTTAAGAATAGTTTATTCCAATGCAAACTCACTGGTTAACCCCAAAAATACTCTTTTTTTTTTTTTTTTTTTTTTTTTTTTAATTTTATTTCTGTCATTTCTGAAATTTTTCCTTGCCTGCACAGAATAAGTTGTTTTCAGAGCCAGGTACAAGGTATGAAGCTATCAAATACTTTACAATGCAGCATCACTCTATGTGGTAAGATGAGTCTCTTTCACAGACACTCCTCATAAGTGTCATCAGTTAATTCAAGGATGGTATTTTCTACTTTTTTATTTAAATAAAGGGAACATTTTGATACAACAGTAAGTTTCCCAGTGACTTCCTGTGTTCGGGTTTATGTCCTCTAAATGCTTAAATAGGTCTGTGTGCTTAAACACTTGAGGTTTAGATGTTATTCCTTATATCTGTTAAGACCAAAGGTTCTGAACGGAAAAAAGAAGTATTTTTTTTTACATCTACAGTTAAATTGAGGCAGAACTGTTTGAGGTGAGTGCTGCCCTGCCTCAATCTGTTCTGAATTTGTTTGTGGAGGGGAAAAAAAGCCACGAGAGACTAATTTGAGCAGCAAATAAGAATCTTAACAAGATCAAGGTAATTAATACTTCCTCTGCTTTGAAAATGTCTGTGACAACAGGCTGCAGCATGGGTTGGCCATCTGTAACAGTGGCAGGGCCACAGCATTACTGTGAGAATGTTATTAAGCCTGTGAAGGAGAAATTGCATTCATGCACAGGGAAATTTGTGGTATTGTTTTGACTTTCTCTTGTTGATCTCTGTGGTTTGTTGTATGTTCTGGTGTTTTTGCACCTTAGTTTAAACACAACTGGAATCAAACATTAAACAAGCACACAAACAAGCAGGAAAAAAAAACCCACCCAAAGAGATTTTGCCTAGAAATGGATATGTACAATTATTGTGTTTATATTACAAGGCTTAGTTAATAAGCAACATATATTTTTCTGAAGAATTAACTGTGAAAAAAAGGGTTAATTTTCAGCCCTTTTTCTAGCTGCATTAAAAGTGTGAAGGAAAAGCACTATACTAGAATTTGTACAAAAGCAGGATAATTTTGTGGAGATTTACACGCGTGTGGATAGAACAAAGCCTTCTGATTTTTTTCATTTCCCATTGAACAAACAAACCAAGGCAATATTTTGAGTCTATTAATACTTTTTCCATCATAATGTTAACAGATTTAGAATGGTCTGTAACAATATATGTTCCCGTGGCTTCTGCAGAAATTCAGGGCTGTTCAGAGGAGCAAAACCCCCATCAGTTCATGGACCACTGGAGAAAGCAAGTTAGAGAATTAAAAAGGTGCAAGGACTCTTCACTACCTTTGCTGCTGCTGTATTTTATTCTGAGTCCTTTGAGTGGCAGTAAGAACATTTGGTGTCTCTGGCTTGCATCCTAGAGTTGCACTGACTGCTGGGTTGGAGGTCAGGCAAGATTATTCCCCATGTTGGATAGATTTGGAGAAGGAGGTGATGATTATCACTTTCAGTGTAGCCTGGGTATGTTGTTGCTTCCTACAGTTCTATAGGCATTGGCATGTAATGGTTCCTTCCTTCCAAGGCTTGGCCAACTCTCTTCAGCTCCCTTTGTCTTTTTTCCTGTGGTGTATTTGAGGTTTTGAGACCTCTGGGTTCCTATATGTTTATTCTTATACTTGTTGTTATCGCTGGTTTGCCATCAGTGCAGGCTGAAAGCATGACATGTGATCTGTAGACCCTTTTGAACATGATTCCTGTGGTACAAACAGGTAATACTGTCACAACCACCTTGTCTTGCCTTCATTAGGTCCAAGGCAGGATTAACCATTAATGGGTAGCGTATGATATTAATCAAACCATGTATTTCAGAAATCCAAATGACACACATTGATATCTTTAGGCAAATATAATGTGGGATTAGAAAGACAGAAGAAGTTGGTTGGGAAGAGATTTAGTCTTGATTAAAACTTTGTGGACTTTTTTTTTTTCACCATTAAAGATGTGATATGCTGCAATCTTCCAGTGCCCTGTGACATAAAAAACTTTGTGGTTGTGGTTCTCCTGTAGGCCTCTGCTTGGTGTCAGAACTTCTGAAACAATTTCAAAGTGAACTTAATTTTTGAACTCCTGAATAGAAGACTGGACATTCACTTTACATCCGATCTCCCTCAGGATATGTATTTTCTGAAATGAAGCTTAATGGACTCTTGTTTTGGGGCAACTGTGAAGATTTTTCCTCAAGTCTTTCTCATAAATGCATTAGGCCAGGTTGGATGGGGCCCTGAGCAACCTGGTCTAGTGGGAGGTGCCCCTCCCCATGGCAGGGGATTGGAATAAGATGATCCTTAAGGTCCCTTCCAACCCAAACCATTCTGTGATTACTTAAGTGAAATTTCTGCGAACAAGTGCATCCAAGGATCTTATTCCTTAGTTTTTGCAGTACTGTGTGTAAGCTGAAGTAGTAAACTGTAGTAGAAGTAAAAAGAGAGCTTTAAACAAGGGTGCTAATTAGACTTAGCCAATGGGGTATAAGGGAGCAATACATGTTATCTAAGCCCTGTGGATAAATAGTAAATCGTGG